GAGAGAGAGAGAGAGAGAGAGAGAGAGAGAGAGAGAGAGAGAGAGAGAGAGGGAGAGAGAGAGAGGGGGGGGCTGTGCAGGGAGGAAGAAATTTACCTCTCTCATTGAACTTGGAACTGAACTTTAAAATTGAGTTTGCACTGATTGTGGCCATATTAGGCTTGTTGCAACGGGTTTAAAGCGAAATTAATTTCTCAGAGATATTTATTAATGGTCTAGATTAAGACACGAAAATTCTACACAGGAATTGTACGAATGTAGCAACAAACTCTGAGCAGTGGACCTTACTTCCGGCGTAATGTAAACAAACTGTCGTCAGGATTAGGTGAGAGGGCACCGGGCACTGGGAGGGTGGCTGGAGATGCAGACTTTGACATGAATGTAGTGGAGAATTAAGGTGGGCTAAGGCTAAGGCTTGGTGCACTCTTCATACCTGTACCGAAACCTTCTGTTTGCTTTGAGGCTCTTCATATATTGTTGTTGTGAAAGTTTGCGGCAATTGTTTACAATTACCAAGTTTCTAGTTTGCTCCTATTGTAGATTCTAATACACTACAGTAACGCTACACATCATTTTATCGAGGCCTTATTTTATTACTAGAATCTAGATCTAACCAGATTCAAGTAGATCTACATAGGCCTACTCATACCATACTCATACATTTAAATTGTTATATGCTTGGACTTGTCTAAAGAAGGAACCGTTATCATGCATGATGTGGCTTATGTCATAAGTGTAGTGAAAACCAGACAAGTTTGCTCAACAATGCACAGCGTACATCATACATGCACTCTCGACTTGCTTGACAGGCACAGGGCGTAGATTTCTAGATGCAACAGGCTTTTGTGTTCTTCTATATATTGATATATATATATATGCCTATTTTTCACATGGCATATTGATCTGCCGTTTCTAAAATTGGGCACTGCCAGTTACCTGCTGTCGGTATCATGTAGCCAAATATAATAGGCCTATCTTTACTGCATTATTTACCTAATTTGTGGCGTCGATGGCCTAGTGGTTAGCCTCTCGGACTCGCAACCGTAAGGTCGTTGGTTCGAATCCCGTCAGGGGCCCGATATGTTGTGTCCTTGGGAAAGGAAAGAAGAAGAAGAAGAAAAAAAAGAAGGAGGAGGAGGAGGAGGGAGGGAGGAAAAGAAAAAGAAGCAGGGGGACAAGGAGGAGGAGCAGGAGGAATTAGAGGAGTAGGAGAACAAGAACAAGATGAAGAAATAGAAGAAGGAGAAGAAGAAGAACCGAGTAGTAATACATGTTACAAATTCATGAGAACTTTTTCGTTTGTTACCCTACCTTGGGACTTGGGACAGAGGAAGAGAGAGAGAGAGAGTGTGGTGAGAGTGACTGGGAAGGTGTCGTGTTGTCGTGTCTTTTAACTTATAATACTTACATTATTCTTTTTTTTTTTTTCCAATAGGTTGTACTTTTTACTAATCAAGAAAATAACTTTCTATTTCCATTTTTATTTTGTCCAACAGAAAAATTGCGGAAAATGCCAGGGCGGACTGTGACAGAGGATCTGATGCAGGGCTGCATGGACAATATTCCATGTATGCCCTCATCAGCAATCCGTGTGTTTTTCAGTTCTACCTTCACAGGTAATATGTTTTACGCAAGCATTTTAGATGAAGAAATTTTGGTTCAAATCAATATTTGTGAGATATGCTGACAAAATTAGTTACTTCTCGCAATCCAAGAATGGAAATATCGGCCAAAAATTGACACTAGGGTCAGATTTACAGATTTTCAATTGACGCCACTTTCTTCAAGTTTACAGTGTCTTTTACTATACCATACTTACAAATTTTATTGTAGGCCTACAAACTTCACCTTTATCGCTTTTCCGTCACAAGGTTTATATAGTTAAAAACTCTTGCCATCAAAGGCAAAGGCATTTTGGGGAAAATCCAAAGAAACTATGTGCGGTAAACATTGCCGATCGGCGAGATGTGACGGCAAAGTGTTAAAGTTGATAAATCAATTTTCATACTGCTGAAATCCGAGAAATAATTCGCTTTGTCAGCACACCTCACATTTTACAGTCGAAACAGTCCAGGACGGTTATCCATTGTCGAGGAGAAAAGCAGCTGTCTCAGACAGAAGACCATCTTGGATGGTGACATAATATAATGTCAATAAAATGTTGTTTTTTTTTTAATTAGAGTAGAGGGCTTTACGACGCTCACAACTGCATAAGGTCATATGAGCGCCAAGGGGTGGGTGTCAACAGAGAAGTCTTTACAGAGAATCAGACTTAGACTGCTCACCTCTCTAGCTTCAACAGCACAAGGTCTGCTTCGACTATCAAGGCACCCCGGAAATAGCAGGTCACAAGAGAGTGACAAACATACAAAAAAAGTAGAGGATAATGACAATAGTAAAGATCTGGAAAGAAAAAGCAGCAGTTCCCTGTTGTAGATCAGGCACAGTTATGAGCGTGACATGAATCCGCCCATTTACACTTCTACTATGCTTGAACAAGAAAAGTCTCCCCTTTGGGAATGGCCTAAAGACACTACAGTCAGTGGCACTGCCTGAGGGGGGGCGGGGGGCAGTAAAATGTGTCATGACGTGGTGCAGTCAGGGGCTCATCAATTTTGGGCATAGGGGGTTATTGGTATCATCTTAAAGTCTATTCATTTGCCTTCCTTTTGGTTAAAAAAAAATATCCATCTATGATGAATAGAGGTCAAAATATTTGCGATTGAAGGAGATAAGGGTCGCCTGGTTTCAGAGATAAAATTAGCGAAAAATGGCAGCCAAAGATAGGTAAGTTCCATAGCCTGAAAGTCTTTGGAAACTGAAAATTTACATTTTATTCCTTTAATCAATGGTTTTCAGTAAAAATCCACACAAAAACGTGCTTTTTAATGGACGCTGCACAGTGGCGACCAACTATGGCATGCTTGCAAAATTTGTCTGTTTTGGTGTAATTTTGTGTATTTAGGCATAATGTATGTGCATGTATTTTACAATTTTTGTAGGCCTATGTATGTATTTGTAATTATAGATTTTTACATGTACCTATTATGTTTGCCATTGTAAACCTGATTGCCCTTCTGGGATCAATAAAGATGTAAGTTATTTATTTTATTTTCATTTGGTAAGATATGCTAACAGAGAACACCCAGCTGACCCAATATTTTCTACTTTATCCAGGAATATCATTTTGCCAGAATGTATGGATGGAAACACTTAAACCACTGTCCCTTCAACAGGTGTCGTTTAAATCTTTCCCCCACTAATGGGGGGTCCCACTTATCTTTTAAAAAACTTTTAGTGTGATGGGAATGTCTTCTCTCTCTCTCTTTCTCTCTCTCTCTCTCTCTCTCTAGCTCTTTCTCTCTCTCTCTCTCTCTCTCTCTCTCTCTCTCTCTCTCTCTCTCTCTCTCTCTCTCTCTTTCTCTCTCTCTCTCTCTCTCTCTTTCTCTCTCTCTCTCTCTCTCTCTCTCTCCCTCTCTCTCTCTCTCTCTCTTTGTCTCTCTCTCTCTCTCTCTCTCTCTCTCTCTCTCTCTCTCCCTCTCCCTCTCCCTCTCTCTCCCTCTCTGTCTCTCTCTCCCTCTCTCTCTCTCTCTTTGTCTCTCTCTCTACGTATGTACGTACATATGTATGTGTTTGGGAGTATGTATGCGTGCTTGCGTTCGTGCTTGCTTGCATTGGTGCAAGAGTGTGTGTGTGCTTGCGTGCCCAATAAATGTTAAATATCTGATGTCCTGCACCAATGTATGTAATTGCAGAGCTATACGTTAAAATGTGTGGATGTATGGGTGAATAGCCTTTCGAATCAATAAATCATTATGAAAAATCAAATCTCTCTCTCTCTCTTTCTCTCTCTCTCTCTCTCTTTCTCTCTCTCTCTCTCTCTCTCTCTCTCTCTCTCTCTCTCTCTCTCTCTCTCCCTCTCTCCCTTCCTCTCTCTCCTTTATGTCAATATGTTGGCAGAACATCTTTCTGGTGTGGCAAAAGATGTGTATCTGAGTAACATCATTTTGTGGGGTTCCTCCATTGAAATTACTTACTTGTGTCTAGAAGGGCATAAGTCTCATACAATGACAAATAAAAAAGCAGCATCATGTTTTTGACTGACCTCATATAAAATCAGTACACGTTGTTGCTCTGAGAGACGTTTACATAGTGCATCTGTCTAAGCAAAACACAACATGGTTATGGTGTACTGGAACTTGATGAAAGTAAATCTCGCTTTATACGATTTTTTGTGTTAACTGCAGAAAACCCACTCATTCAGCATTATAAGGAAGTGGGTGTTAGAAATATCCCCAGACAGAATAGAAGACGTACAGAGAAAAATAGATGCTTTTGAATCCCCACAAGAACCTAAAGATGATGTTTTGACCAAATCAGTCTTGATGACAGAACTAGATAGAGCCCCTCTCCTGCTCAAACCAAGACAAGCCCCAGGCCCAGATAAAATAAGCAATGACATGCTTATGCATATATATATAGAAAACTCTGCTAAGAAGAAAATTAACTAGTTTGAAACTCACTTACATGTCAATGTTTGTTTTGTTTCAGATATGACAGAGGAGCGCAATTTAGTGATGAGGACTGTTGTTCCTGAAATTAAATCTTTCTGTCAAGACAAAGACCTCACTTTTGAGGTCAGTTTATTTAACTCACTGTCTTTTGAATAATATGTAGAAATGAAACAATTTGAAAATGTCTTAATCTCCAAGAAGCTGCAAACCATTCATTAATTAGCTGAGTAGGCCTATCTACAGCCAGCTATGGGAAGTCTGAGTATGATTATTTATATAAATAATTATATAGTAGTTTGTTTTCACATGTATTGATTTCTGTTCTTGATTCTGAATTTTGCAAAATTGTGTATTGAGCTACAATGAACATGAAATACTAAGCCAAATATAATCAAACACTTGGATTTATATCATAATTGTAGGCTACCTAATACTTTTCATTTTACAACCCCCATACATTCTTAGGTGTTGAAATTACAATTTAGTTTTTCTATTGTCTGTTAAACAATGTTTGTTTTGTTTTTTAACTGTAGGCCTAGTTTCTAGAAACAATTAATACTTCTGTCTACTCCAATTTTTAATTCTTTTCTTCCAGGTTGTGGACATGCGGTGGGGTGTGAGAGAAGATGCGTATGCTGATCACCAGACCTGTGACCTCTGTATCGCAGAAATTGAAAAAAGCGAGCGCGCATCTTTAGGCCCAAACTTTGTGGTACATATGAATTTTTCTCTCCAAAATAAAATATTGTGGCTTTTTTTTTTTGTCTTTTGTGCATGAATTGAGTTTGCAAGCAACTCCATTTTAGATCATTTTTTTAAAAAATGTTTGACTTTTTCTTAATATTGCCCAACGTTAGGAAAAAAAATGCTGATTTCTTTGATTTCAATATTTTGACGAGCGTTTGATTTCACCACGATCTTCAAATATATGTTAATTACATTCCCCTCTATCTTGCTACTGATATTCTTCAACAACAATATTTCTTTGTGTTCACGCAGGTGTTTGTCGGTGACAAGTATGGATCAAGACCACTGCCAAGTGCAATACCTGTCACAGAGTTCAGACTTTTCCGGAGGATTGCTTCGTGGATGGACATCAAATTTGAGACTGTTGAGAAATGGTATCTCCTAGATACGAACTCAGTACCACCTGTGTATCAAATTCAACCCATCACGACTTTACTGCCATACTTCAATAACATGAATCCTGTCAACAAAACAAAGAGGCTTGTGGTAAGCTGTTTTTCTTTCTCTGTCTGAACTGAAGTTTTCTTCCATTTTTAACTCTTTGCCCCCCCTCATCTCACCGATTGACGATGTTTACCGCTCAGTTTCTTTCGAATTTCCCCAAAATATGATGGCAAAGTGTTTAAAAAAATATGTAACTGAAACAAACACATTTAAAAATCCATGAAAAGTGATAATTAGAGGAATTTAGAGTTTTTTTCAAGTAATGTGCAGGAAATTCCTGAAGTGACTGTTCATTTCTGGAAGTTGTTTTTTCATCAAACACTTGGAGTGTAGAACATTGAGGCTACTACTATGTGTGGGTAGTTTCAATTAAAAATGGCGCTCAAAGATCCTTCCCAAGTTTGTAGCAGAGAGGGGTGTGTCTGAATATAGATAGACGATGTGAACAACGAATTGATGGAGACGCCATAAAATCACATGTTTTGTGTGTATGTGTGTGTGGGGGGGGGAGGGGGGTTATTATTTTACCCCTTTTTCCGATTTTGGTGTCAGTAGTTGTAAGTTATATAAAAATATGTCAACATGGTACAAGTGTTATGCTTTAAGAAAAACAAAACATGAAAAAAGGGGATGTTATGATGATGGTGAGATCAAATACCTCATGTTTGTATGAAAAGTGCATGTGAATCAGCATGCTAACTTAAGTACAATTATTTTTCATATATTTTAAATGGCTATCTCATGCTCTTTTGATACAATGCCTTATTTTCAATTATCTTGCCTTTGATTTCTTATTGCTTTTGTTTCTTGGTAAAGTTGTGATACTGCGTTCCTATTTACAGAAGTCCAAGGGGGGGGGGGGCTCTCGTGGCCTAGAGGTTATGGTGTTCACCTCTCATCCAATAGGTCCCGGATTCAATTCCGGATAGTGACAGAAAATTTTCTTCTCTTAAATTTTCTCCTTTCACCTCCTTTCCTGCTCTGTAATATTGTTCTGTCGTCTACTTTCATCTCCACTTTCTGCCCCCACCCCGTCACCTCCTCAGCCCCCACATCTGGGCTCCTGACTCTTTCTGCAGCCTTTCTGCTACTTCTTCTTGGCTCCTTCTTACTGCTGTCTTTCAGCCACACCCCTGTTCTTATGGTTGGTAAGATCTATCACCTTGCCTTCTCGAATAAGGGCGAAAAATTTAAAGATCCGTTGGTGGTCCAAAAATCGATAAGAGTAGGCTTCGGCTGCCATGTGGGCAAAATTCAAAATTTGCTTCCAACTGAAAATGCTTTATGTGTCCTGCGTGCTCATATGACCTTATGCTGCTGCGAGCGCGGTAAAACGTTTACCGAAAAAAATATATTATACATAAAAAATTCAAGTCTTTTCAAAGATGCGGTTTCAAACTCCAGACATTTGAGTATGAAGGTCAGCATCCATCTCCTAATGGGTTTTATTGAAAAGGACAAATTGAAGAACAAATTTTTCAGTGCTTTATAGATTGAGATCAACTGTCAACATAATAAGTATCATCTATAATGGGGTGCTGAAAATTTGATACTTCAATTTGAAGAGATTAACTTTTACAATTCACTCCTTTCCACTTGAAGAGGTGTAACTCTCATGAAACTGAAAATGAATTTCACTTTATTTCCTATTGTCCGTATTTTGTCCATCAAAGGAAATTGTTAATTCTCACCAACCTGACTTGGCCCAGTGACAGAAATATGCAATGTTTGACCCATGATAAGAAACATGTGCACAACCTGTACTTTTTCATTATATGGAAACTTTATTTATCAGATGAGTGTTTTATACGATGTGATATGGGACAATGGCCTTAGACACTGAATGAACTTACTTACTTCCCCTTTCCATTTTGTTTGTTTCAGCATGTTCAAAACTGGGAGAGTGATGAACGAAATATGAAAAATGTGTTCCGAAAAGTGTCAGTCATTGCCCTGGATCAGAAGAAAATCACAAGGGCAGCTTGTGAAAAGTACTTCATATCAGGTAATAATTCATTAATCCAGTGCCAGATCTGCGACAGACACAGACGATCATGGTTCTCCATTCATTCCTTTGCTCAGATGCTCTTAAGAAAGCTACATTTCCCTGATCTTTCCTCATTACCCATTTGTTTAGGTTCCTAAAGTAAGTTGCCCTTGGCCTACCCCTGCCTCTTTTGCCTTCAGTTTTGCCAGTGAGAGCTTGATGTTCAAGACCTTTATGTATATTCAGGTGTCCCAAAAACTGCATTTTGTCGTTTCCTGATTGTTTTTAACAGAGAGTGTCCCTCGTGGGCTTCGTCAAGCACTACCTCATTTGATTTCTTTTCGTTCCACGATATTCCCAGCAATCTTCTAAGAAAGCACATTTCTGTTGCTTCTATTTTATTTCCACTGTCTTTAGTGATTGTCCAGCATTCACAGCCATATATAGAAGAGTTGACCTTACATAGCGTTTCAAAACTTTCATTTTGATAGTCATTGAGATACATGTTTCTATTTTTCAGGTAATAATAATAAATAGCATTTGTATAATGCATATCCCCACTCGACAGCAAGTTATATGCACTTCGCACTATACTATTATCCCAGCAGGCCACAGAACACTCAGAAACTTTCTCAGCTTTGCAGGAAGCATTCAGTGCAAGCAATTGATTAAGTGCTCAAACACTAACAATCTGACAAGATCTTTCACCGTCTTTGAGGTACCTCATTTACTTTTTCAAAAGGTGGTGTTCATGTAATTATTGTGACTTCGAAATGTTTTCTGTGATAGTTTGATCCGATAAATGACCGGCGAGATAATATTTTAAGGCTCCGGCTATTCGGACTCAAGTCTGAATAGCCTCACATGGCTATTCGAACTCATACTCCAATGCTTCAAACTCTAGTCTAAAACATTACTCTTAACTTAAGCTACATTTTTGTCTTTGGGCCACTTAGCACCTTACGCACTGCTATACATAGTGGAAGTCTGATGTACTAATTTCTTCAATTGTTTGTGTGTGTTCAGTGACAGAGTGCGAGGTGGATAAAGGGATCTACACGTACTCAAAACTGAAAGACCGTACCCTCTGCTTTGAAAGGACGCTGACCAGTATCAACATAGAAGATTCTATAGCCAGTGAGTGGTTCTCCTTTCCTCTCTTCTTATATGTATACATATTTGTGTCACGACATGGTGGAATCAGGCGCTTGTCTATTTTGGAGCATTTTGGGATTATTTGTATCATCTTAAAACCTCTTCATTTGCCTTCCTTTTAGTGAAAAAAAATCCATTTATGTTGAATAGAAGTCGAAATATTTGCGATTGAAGGAGGTCATTGTAGCCTGGTTTCAGAGGTCAAAGTAGGGAGAAAAAGGCCACAAAATTTAGTAAACTCCATAGTCTGAGAGTCCTTGGAAACTGAAAATTTACTTTTTTTTGTGCCTTTAATCAATGTTTTTCAGTAAAATCCACATAAAAATGTGTTTTAAATAGACGTAAAAGGGGTTGGGCCAAAAAAAAAAAAAGAAGAAAATTAGAAAAAATTGCCCATTGGCCAAAAAAGTCAGATTTCTTTGATTTCCTTATTTTGGAAGCGCCTAATTTCACCACAATGCCTCACATTTACTTAACTTCTCATGACACTGATAGCTAGCTTGTTAGATTATAGTTGCTAAGTAATCTTGAGTTTCAGTTGCAGCTTAGTGTCTTGGAGTACAACACTCCTGCATGTGGTTGAATGATGCATATATGATATGATGTGCCCATTTTGTCAGCGTTACTTTTCTTTTCATATATTGAGTTTTAATGAGAGTAATATGTAATTCAATTTTTATTACATATACCTGCATGTGTTTTTACGGCCCTGTACAGCCAAGAAAAATTTCCCTCTTGGACAATAAAATAATATTTTGTCTTAATCTTATTTTGTCTGAACACACTGTACTACTTTACAATTTTACATAGATTTCATGCTATCTCTTACAATAAATTACATGTCTATTTTTCCAAAAATAACACTGCAGGTACCACACGAGATTAAAATCACGATAATACTAACGACTTTGGACCTTTACACTCATGAGAGCAAAAGCTAGATCTAACATCTAAGCCAAAGTAAAATATGTACAAAAATATGATCGGCCTTATACTCTTCTACCACTACCATATCTGTATTTCAGAGCGTTTTATCGACTTGTCTCCGGACGGTGAAATTGACCCTGAAGCACGGGACCTGAGGGAAAAAATGAAATCTGAAAAACTTCGCGACTGCTTGCCAGAGTCCCAGCGGGTTCAAGACACCGTTTGCTGGTCAGACAAGGGCATTGACCCGGAGAATCCCGAACACGCCCATTACTTGGAGACTTTTTGTGAGACTTTCAAGAAACTGTTGCTGGAACAGATCAAACTGGCAATAAGGGAAACGGCTGAGGACAAGATCGAGAACGCTCTTTCTGCCGAAGTCGTGCGTCACATGATGCACTGCAAGCTCCGGAGTCAGTGTTTCTTTGGTCAAGGAGAGGTCATCAACCAGACGTATAAAATGCTTCATAAGATATTCAGAATTAAAGGCATGGGCCAAGAGGAGGAGGAAGAGGATCAAGAAAAAGAAGAAAATCCTGTGGAGAAAAGTGATGAAAAGGAGGAAAGTATGGATGAGAATGCCAATGAAGAGGATAACAAAAACGATGAGGATGTTGTTAATGAAAGCAATGAGGAACAAAATAATCTCAGTGTAAGGAGCAATAATGTTGAAGAAGACGTCAGAGATGATGATGAGAGTAAACTGAAGGAAGATGAGAATGATACAGATGCTGACAAGGATATTCAAGACAAAGAGCAAGATGAAGATGATGATGAACAGAAACCTGAGCAAACTGAACACGAAAAAAAGGTACAAGAAATAATTGCTTCTGTCACAGCTCATTACGAACGGTTGGGTGAGCGGGCTCCTACTTTCAGCATCGGTGACCTTGCTGATGACACAGCGTCGGACCCGACCAGAGACATGAAACAAGAACTCATAACGTTCGACATGACCAAGAGGTACCGACGTCCTGTTGTCGTGACCGGCGAAGACGGCTGCGGTAAGACAACTATCGTGGCCACAATGGCAAGACTGCTGAAAACCTGGCACCCACCAGCAGTTCTCCTGATTCGTTTTCTTGGTTCAACAGCTCGTTCAGATAACGTCCGGAGCCTTCTCATCAACCTCATAGAAAACATCTGGTCAGCCTACAACATGATCAGACCTACAGACATAGACTTTGCTGAGGACGTTATTTATCTGGGTCAGTACTTGCAGGCGCTCATGTGGAAAGTGAGCTGCGAGTCGAAACCTCTGTACATACTTTTGGACTCTTTAGACTTTCTACAACCAGGAGAACAAGCTCATGGGCTGGCCTGGCTACCAACAACGCTGCCTTTACATTGTGGTGTTCTCGTGACTGTGGCAAAGACGAGCCAGGGCTGCCTGAAGAGCGCCAGGAGGATTTTGCCGTTTGAGGCTCTCTTTATTGAGATCCCACCCTTGAGTGAAGAGGCCGCCGACAAAGTGGTCAGTGCCACTTTAAACAGGAACAGCCGAGAACTGGCAAGACCACAGAGGAACTTTCTCTTGGGTGAGTGTGGCTTTTAATCATAATAATAATTAGAAGAAGAAGAAGAAGAAGAAGAAGAAGAAGAAGAAGAAGAAGAAGAAGAAGAAAAAGAAGAGGAAGAAGAAGAAGAAGAAGAATGATAATAATGATAATAATATATAATTATAGCTTTTGTATACTGTATTTCCCCGCTCAACAGCAAGCTCTATGCACTTTACACACTATATTATTACCCCATAAGACCACAGGTCACTCAGAAACATTCTCAGCTTTCTTGGAAGCTTACAGTGCAAGTGGCTGATTAAGCGCTCAAACACTATAAAAATGGCAAGATCTTTCACTGTCTATAGCTGGGTATCCATTCCCACCTGAGTGAAGTGAGGGAAATACGTGTAAAGTGCCTTTCCCAATGACACAACGTCGGGTCCCTGATGGGATTCAAACCCACGACCATACAGTTGCGAGTCTGAGAGCTTAACCACTAAGCCACCGACGGTTTTTAGTTTGGGTCCCCCTTTTTTTTACACAGCATCTTTTGTACTGTCTTATTTATGTGAATTAACTATCCAGTCCAACCTTCTCTAATGGCCAACTGTCCAAAACAATCACCTCTATGAACGACCACTTACCATTTCTCCTCTTGTGATTTTTTGTTTATGATAATGACACTACCCCACTCTCTTAAGGGAAGACCCGTGTCGGCGATCCCAGACAATATCGATAAAATTGTTCAAACTATCCAACTTTTGTTTTTTGCGGAAAAACATCATTTGACATCTGTTCTATCTGGTCACAATGAAGAAACTGTTGAGAATACACCCTAAATGACCTAAAAGGGCGTTTGAAAAGTGCAAACTGCACAAAAAATCCTGTAAAAAATCCCTGTTTTTCTGTTTTTCTCAAAATCTACTTTTTGACACAGGTGACCTTTTGGTACAAGGAATTTTAAAAAACTACTGAATCTAGAAGCTCAAATTTGGTGTACATGTGCTTTAAGATCTATTCTGGGAATCTATGTGAGGGAATTGGGAAACATTGGTAACTTGTGGAAATATTCAATTTTTTTGTAATATGTACCCCAAAATTTCGTCAAATGACTCTCAGGGGTCCATTGACTTTGGGCTCACTTTTTTATTTTTAAAGATAGGTCAAAATCCTCACATGGATCCCCAGTCCATATAGGCTTGTACTTGTGAGCCAACTTTCAGGCTGATGTTTCAATATTTACTATGAAATTCATTTGGACTGAGAAACTGGTTTGAAAATCCAAGATGACCGCCACAGAAAAAATCAACAAATTCACCCATAGTACGTCCTATTTACCTATGAAGTTTTTGCACAATTACACGAAAGCGAATAAAAGTCATTTGTTTAGAAAATTTTTCCGGGAGTGAACGTCTCCCCTTAAACAACCACTCTTGTCCTCAACATTGACTGGCTGTCTTGGACAATTTCCACGGCTGTATCATGAAATAAAAATTTGGCTCCAGTATCTGTCTATTTAGCGGGCAGAGTATTTGCCTTGCATGTAAAACACTGCAGTTTGGTAAACACATGGAGGAAAATATGGAGTTATATAATATAAATAATAATATATACATGATATCCTTCACCCTGCTGAGATTTATGTCAGGCATCCCTGGTTAGTCTAGAACTAGTAAGGCAGGTATGAAGCAGCCAGACTCTAAATTGGTCGCTTTTAGGGACAAGCTGGCTAACCCAGATTTTGGGGATTTCCAGAAATCTTGACCTGCTCCAAAAGTGGGCATAGCCCTACCTATAGGAGAAGTTTGGGTTCATTGGTGTGCATATTTGTTTGGTTATAGAGAGAACTCCCTTAGTCTTTTAAAGAGACAGAATAAGGGGCAAAAACTTTACCTTCGATTTTCTCAAAACAGCATTTCTCGGGATAGCCCCCTTTTGTGCTTACAAGCGACCAGTTATCTAAAGTCGTGCATGTGCAGGGCCGCGTTAACTAAGTGCGGAGCCCAAGGCTGTGCATGAGCCGCGGGGCCGGGGCCCCTCGATGACGTTGATGCTACTACTACCGCATTGTAACCCCGTACTGATGGAAAGCTATACTGTAAAACGTGATTAGATGTAGGCCTACCGGTATCCACCAATAATGTGGATTAAGACGACGACAAGCACATTTATAGATCTATTTCTGTTACAAAGTAAGAGGCAGCCGAAACATAGATTATCAGCAGCAGCCACAACAACAGCAACGGCGGTAGCATCAACATCCTTCTCATCAACATCCTTCTCATCAACATCCTTCTCATCAACATCCTTCTCATCAACAACAACAACTACTGTAAAACCAACAGCAAATACAAACAACAAACAACAAACAACAACAACAACAACAATTCAACAAGAGGACAATTTTGTTGTTGTTGAAAAACATTTTTGAAAAGTCGTGTTTGCAGGCGTGGGGCCCCCTGAGCCCTAGGCTACAGCCTCAACAGCCTTACGGGTAACACGGCCCTGTGCATGTGTAAATATTTTACAGCAACACCAGTTTAGTGCTGAAATTGCTTAAAAGCACTTTGAAGTAGAATTGTGATCCCCTTCCCCCTCCCAAATACCTTTTGCCCTTCTATTTTCTGTCCTGGAACTATTTTGTTTTTTTTTAACTGATGAGACTTTGTTTGTGAAATTTAATGTGAACTTTGACCTCTGGCATGATAATTCTCATTGTTTTAACAGCTTCCCGTGGATGTTCATTCTGGTATGCATTTTATATTCCTGCTAAAGGCCTGTCGCACACCATTCTTTATGGCAGCAGTTGTAGGAAAAGCCGGACATTTCTCCACAATAACTCCAGTCTCTGTTACTTTTGGGACGTTCAAATAATATAATCTTATGCCTGGAAAGGTGGAAGGGGGGGAGGGTCATGGAGGGAGGGGGTCTTTGGCTCCTGTCAGAAAAGTGTAAGACGGGGCGGGGGGGGGGGGGGAGGGGTCTTGGACTAATGTAACATTACTAAACGCTCTTTTTCGGTCCACTGTAATTCGTTTTTTGTAATAAGGTGCCTTTGACATTGGCATGAGTCTCAATTTTTTCCGTATTAGTAAGAGCGAGTGAATGCAATATTTTGCTTGAATGATTTACTCTATTATTTTGTTGCGAATGTAGAATTGCATATTTTATCATGTGCATGAATGTGTGTATGCATGGTTTTCATGAATATTATAAGAATAAGGATTGTAACATGGATTTTGCGCTATATGAAGGTCATATTATTATTATCATAATGAATGTAATATTATGGGATTTTTTTTTGGGGGGGGGGTAAGAGGCAAACGTAAGAAAAGTGTAAGAAAGGGGGGGGGGGGTCCCAGAAAAGGTGTCAGATTATATTTGAACAGTCCCTTACGGAAATGCATTTAGAACATCAGTGCCTTTAAAGTAGTCCACAAGATATTACATAGTTTCACATTGCATTGTAGTTGTAGTTACATGTTCTCTGTTTTCATGTTTTGGGACTACAAAAATGTTGATAATAGTTTCAGGATGCATGCTTTGAGACTACAAAAATGTTGATAATAGTTTCAGGATCCATGCTTTGAGGCTACAAAAATTAATGTTAATAATAGTTTCACACTGCTTGCTTTGAGACTATAAGAATGTTGATAATACAGTGTAGTTTCAAGATGCATGTGTTTTTACTTGTTCTCTGTTTTCATGCTTTGAAAGAACAACATTTAGAAGCTCACAACTTAAAGTTCTATAGCTTACCTTTAGTATTAAACTCTGCTGCAGACAACGCTTGTACATTTATTGTTTACGTTTACTGAATTAGTTTCTCTTACTTTTATGAGAATGTTCCAATCTCTTTTTTTCAAAGTTTATCTCCTGCTTTTAGAACTGTGAATTTTCTATGTGCTAATTTAGTGTAGCAGCTAATATGTATAAATATGTAGGCCCTAACATCCTAAAGCAAGCAGGTCCACCTGTATTAGTCTCCTAAAATTAAAACCTTTTTATAGACAGCATCCGCTTTTGTCACTTTTAGGAGGCTAACAAGTGGGTGGTTGGCGGGTGCTCTGGTGTGGTTTGCTTCTTCTTTCTTATCAAACATCTGATTCTATCATCTTTATCTTCCTTCCTTCTTTTTTTGTGTTTGTTACTCTCTTGTAACACCTCTAATCTTCGGCACTTATATAATTATTGTGCTACAAGTGCCGTAAAACTCTTACTAAAACTTAAAGAGGCTAACATTTTGTTACTGCCTGCCCACTACCCACATGTATTTCTAAGTTTGGCATGAAAATAATAGACTACCTGTTACTACCCGGTCGATCCTCATCACCCACCAAAATTACCAAATTGTCCACTTCTGGGTGATCTGACCCAGGTTAATATCCCCCCCCCCCCCAAACTTCACCAGGGCAGTTCTGCTGACTGAAGTTGTCTTCAGGCCCAAAGGAGGGGGGGGGGGATATTAACAAGTTCTTATCATGCACAGTAGAATTGTAAATGGGCTGATTTACCTATGTCATGCTCATACTGTGACGGAACAACATAGGGGGAACTGCTGCTTTTTCTTTCCTCATCCTTACTAGATCTATCGTCATTTTTCTTCAACCTCTTTTGTGTGTTTGTTATTATTTTATTATTATTATTATTATTATTATTATTATTATTATTATTATTATTATTATTATTATTATTATTATTATCATTACTATTTTTTAAAAATTATATTATTATTATTATTATTAAAATATGTAATTGAATCGCTTGCTCTTTCCGGATCCTTTCGATTTCCTTGTAGTAATGCTCTTTGAACCTGGGGAAGAGTCACACAAATTGATGTACAGAAAAGTTTGAAGATATGGAATAACATCAAGAGACTAGCCCAGGATTGAGAAAAGTGGAAAGTGTTTGTCCGTGGCCTATACCATGGTGCAGGGTGAAAAAGGCTGTCCCCATGGTTTTATGCAAAAAATATTCTGAAATTATGCAAACTGAGCCCAAAAATGTGAACATATGCGATTCTTTTAATTTTAACAAAGAATGATAAAGGAGAATAATCAGAAATTAAGCAAAAAATGATCAAGTTTTGCTAAATTATGCGGGGTGCATAAAACCACAGGGACTGAAAAGTAATGATGAGGATGAATTCTGTTTGACTTTCTATTTTCTATTCCTGTTTGGCAGAGAAATACCGAGAGTGGCCGAACCCCTTGTACCTGAAGCTGATCACCGACCTGTCGATGTCGTGGCGGTCCCACCAGCAGGTGAAGGATCTCATCCTGGGCTCCAACACAGAGCACGCCGTGATTCACTTGTTCATGTTGACCGAGAGGAACCACGGCATCGTCCTCGTGTCCAAGGCCTTTGGTGGGTCTGAGTTGTTGTTGTTGTTTTTTTTGGGGGGGGGTTGTTTGTTTTGTCTTGGAAGGGGGGGGGGGGTTGTAGAATAGGTAGGTGTGGTTGTGGGGTTGTTTTCTTTTGTAGAATTGGTGAGTCTGGTTTGTGGAATTTTTTTAAAAAGTGGAATTGATGAGCCTTTTTGGGAGGGAGGGGGGGGGTGTTAGTGGAATTGGTGAGTCTGGTTTTGGTGTTTTTTTGTGGAATTAGTGAGTCTGTTTGTTGTTGTTGTTTTTTTTGTTTTGTTTTTTTTTGGGGGGGGGGCGGTTGGTGTGGAATTGGTGAGTCGGTTGTTCTTGTTGTTGTTGTTTTGTTGTTGTTTTTTCAGCTGTGTAGGCGTAGCGTACTGGCTTTTTTTGCTCTATGTAACGATAGTTGCAGGCTTTCTACTTTGTAGAGTGTATTCATGGGTGGTTGGTGGGTGCTCTGCATTGGTTTGCTCCTTCTTTCTTATCAATCATTTGTCATCTTTATCTTCTCTCTTCATCCTTTTCTTTAAATTGTATGTTCCATTTTCATAACACCTCTAATCTTCGGCACTTATATGACCCTATTGTGTTACAAGCTCATAAAACTCTTAGTCGAAGCAGACTGTGTGCTGTTGAGGCTAGAGAGGGGAGCAGACTAAGCCTGATTCCCCGTTTGCACTTCTCTGTTGACATCTACCCCTTGGCGCTCATATGACCTTATGCAGTTGCGAGTACCGTAAAACTTTACTAAAACTAAAAACTAAAACTTACTAAAACAAACAAATTAACAAGCATTGTGGTTCCCATTACTCTTTTTTGTAAATGCCAATGTAAATAAGAGTCTTTACCATATTTACA